CCCACTAATACCCCTACACCCATGCATACACACTCCGCCATGAATACACACCCACGCACGCACATAATACCCCTACACCCATGCATACACACTCCTCCACACATACACACCCACGCACGCACATAATACCCCCTACACTCATGCATACACACTCCCGCATGAGTACACACCCATGCACGCACACTAATACCCCTACACTCATGCATTCACACTATCCCACAAATACACACCCACGCATGCACACTAATACCCCTACACCCATGCATTCACACTATCCCACAAATACACACCCATGCACGTACTCTAATACCCCTACACCCATGCATGCACAAGTATGCATACATGAACAACCTGTCACATACATATACACATACCTACACACAAGCACACACCTACACACATGCACACAGACATGCATGCACAGGCATGCAGAGCCAGATATGTAGACTCCTATCCATGTACACACACACACACACACACACACACACAGAGGCTCATGTGGCAGGTGACTTCACTCTGAGTCTTTCCACACTGAGGGCTGGTGTCCATCTGTCCGTCCAGTATGACTGCTGATTTCCTGCACGTCACACAGCAGCCTGGTGGGGGTGGGGGACATAGACGGTGCTGGTTACCTTCAGTAGGAAGTGGAGGCACAGGGCACGCCGGGACAGAGCTGGCACTGCCGCTTTAGGCGGGCAGCCCCTTCCCTCCTTGCAGGCTGCTCACCTTCACAGGCCAGGGCTGGATGGGGGTGCCGTCCCTGCCCGTGCAGCACAGGGCGGATGTGTAGGCTGCAGCTTCCTTGGCCAGCAGGTCCCAGCGGGCATTGGGGCCCAGGTTGCCTGTCGGGTCAGCTGGATCCAGGATGATGGGCCTGCAATTCCCACCCAGCATTAGTCCCAGTCCTGGCCCCATCTGGTACCCACCCATGGGACTGGTTGGACCATGTTCCTCTTTCACCTAACATTCTCCTGGGACCAGGATGAGGGCCAGGACCTAGTCTCAGGATCTCCACGCCCTAGGTACACACCTGAGAACAGGTATAGAAAATAAGCTACACACTAATCACTTCTCCTGCCTGTATCCAAGGCAGACATTAATAATCAACCACTGTGCTCATCCCACCACTTACTGTGAATGAAGCAGGCATTATTAATTGATCAGAGCCACATTTCCTCCACCACTTTTCCTTCCTGTATCTATGGCAGGTATTACCGATTGTTGTTGTTAAGTGCCGTCGTGTCATAGACGACTCATAGCGACCCTATGAACGAAAGTCCTGAACACTTGTATAACTTTCATCATTTCTCCAAGTTCATAGAGTTTCCAGAGACAGGCTATTTTGGAAGTGGATGCCACTCCTGCTTCCAAGCTTGTTTTAATCGGGGAGCTCCACCAAACACTGTCCACTGTGGGTAACCATGATCACATACATCAGTGTCACAGTGTTTAGCATCACAGCAATCATGAATTACCTCTGTACAGCAAACAGAAAAGTGCAATACCACTTAGAAGAATGACCAAAAGCAATTAAAACCAGGCCTGAGGGCCGCAGATTAAAATCACCCTTTCTCTCTCTACTCAGCTGAACAAAATCACAACCTCTGAGACTTTCTCATCACTTGACTCTAAGGACTCTCACTGGAGATGCACACATAGCTTGCAAAGGCCTCAATACTGTGTTGTACCCATTTCACAGGTAGGTCAAATTCCAATGAATGAGATACACTTCAGGTATCTGGCAGGTTCATAGGTAGGGCTGTCAGACTGAATAACAACAACAAACACAAGATGCCCTGTTAGTTACATTTCAGTTTCAAATAGACAATGGACAGATTTTTTTTTTTTTTAATCTTTAAGTGTATCACATAGACTATTGTTCACCAGGGAGCTCTGGTGACTTACTGGTAAGAAATTGCATTGCCAGCTCAAAGGAATGTGGTTCAAATCTCAAAAGGATGTGCTCGATGGGAGAAAGGTGGGCAAATCTCGTCCGGTGCAATTTACTGTCTCTGAAAGCCCACTGGAGGGTCAGCTCCAACTCAATGGCTCAGAACAACAACAACACACTTATACTAAAAACGATACTCTGTTTACCAGAAATTCACACCTCCCTTGGTGTCTTGTGCTTCCTCTGGCCGCCCTCTATTTGATCTCAGGGGAAGCTGGCCACTGTTCCTAGGGGCTGAGGAGGTTTCCTGTAGAAAGGGAACTGACTTCTGGGCAAAAGGCCCCCACTGCCTACTATGGGGAACCAATGGGGAAGCTGGGCCTGGGATTTGGGGTCTCTGGGGCAAGTCAGAACCTGGGCTTCTGCAGCTGCTGCTTCAGGAAGTCTCCAATGACCTTGTGCTCGGCGTCATAGTTGACTGTCCAGTAGACGCAGAGCTGACGGTACTGACCAACCAGTTCTAGCACCGTGCGGAAGCCCTCAGCCATGCTGAACTGGGGCCCCTGCTTGCCCTGCTCCCAGGCGTACACGGTCAGGAGTTCGAGCCCGTGCTGCGGGGGTAGGGAGCCCTTGCCCTTGGGCATCCTGTTGCACTGGGGGAACAGGACAAAGAAGGGGCATCGGTAAAACTTGGCAGGACACCCATCCGGCTTCAACGGAGTACCTACACACTCCAGGCACCAGGTATTGTCCCATCAAAGCCTGGAGCACAGTTCCAGCACCCCCACCGCCTGGAGACCAAGGCCCCACAGCCCACAGGCAGACCCCAGGGCCACAGCATGGGGCCCCTCCCTGCAGCCCACCTGGCGGTACCAGTGCTTCACCAGCCGGATCAGACTCTTCAGCTTGGTGGGGCGCGAGCAGATGAAGTCCCGCTGCAGCTCCGTGAAGCAGGTGGAGTACTCGCCTGCGTTGTGGTAGGTGCGGATGAGGTCCACGTAGACCTGCGGGCTGGGCCGGCGGCCGGAGCCCAGCTGGCCTGCAAATGAGGACAAAGCCGCCCTTGTCAACATCACCCCATCCCCTAGTCCCAGCGGGGCTGACTTTGGAAGGACTTCTGTTCTCTCCCATCAAGTGTTCTCCTGAGTGATCTAGACCCCACAACTGCTGTTGCCATCGAGTAAGATCCAACCCATCTCTGAGCCTCTAGCAGGTTTTCAGAGGATGTAGATGGCATAGGAGAAGAATGCCCACCTTTCTTCTGTGGAGGCTCCAGCTGGTGGATTTGAACTGCATGTCTGTGGGTTGGCAGTGCAACTCCTAACCCGCTAGGCCACCAGAGCTTCCTGGTCCAGATCCGGTATTCATTGTATCTTATCTGGAAATGGGCCACCTGCCTCAGTGCAGAGGGGGTCTTCAGCACCTCTGCGGCTTGTTAATCCAGGTTTATAGCTCCCTGTGTGTGAGGAGCGTCAGTGACACGTCTCTGGTTTCCCCAGAATGCACCTCCACATTCCTGAAGATCCCACCTTCGGGTCTGGAGTAGATTCAGATGCATTTTAGAATGACTTCTCTTCCAAATTACACTCCAAACCCCAGCAATCAAAATGCTTCCGATGCAGGGCATTTCCTTACTCGCCTGTCAAAATTCTGAACTAAAAGATGCAAACAGATTGGTGTCTGTTGGACTCGAGACTTTGCCCTTGAAATTGGAAGAGTGCCGGACACATAGAAGGTGCGTGTATGAAGACAAGTGCTTATAGCTAAGACAGGGTTTTAAGAAAGGGCAGCGACTCGACGGCACATAACAACAGAGACCCAAAGCGGGGACCGAGCTGGGGTACTTCAATCTCTTCATTGATGGATGAGGGCACTGGGGCTCAGACTGGGGAGGGGGCAGGGCCAATTGTTCAAGGTCATGCAGCATGTTTTAGGACCTGCTTAGACAAGTATGATGGCCAAGTGGGAATTAGTTTCTTCTCTCTTGAGACGCTTTGCTGCCATCTGCTGGAAAGTTGGAATAATTACACACATTTACACTAGGGGGACCCTCGTGGCTTGTTGATGTTGTTATTAGGTGGCTTTGAGTTGAGTTATGACTCATAGCGACCCTATGAACAACAGATCTGAGCCCTGTCCTCTCCTGTGCCGTCCCCACCATCTCTGATACACATAATAAGTCCATTGCAGCAGTGTCAACCCATCTCATTGAGGGTCTTCTGCTGACTGATATTCTTCTCCAAGGAAGAGCCCCCAGTCTAACAACATGCCCAAAGTACTTGGTGGCTTAGTGGTAAGGAATTGTGCTGTCAACACAAAGGTAACCAGTTCGAATCCACCAGCAGGAGAAAGATGGGCATTCTCCTCCTGTGTGACTTACTGCCTCTGAAAACCTGCTAGAGGGTTGACCAGGAGTCAGCTCTGACTTGAATGGACACAACATTATTACCTATGATGTGAGCAGATACGGCCTGATGCAGTGCACAACCCTTACTACTGTCCATGGCCAACCTGTCCCTGTTCTTTCCTTTTCTGGCCCTTGGGCCCCTCACCTAGGGCATTGAAGGCCGGCAGCACGTCGAAGTCCACGCTCTGGTCCGGCGTCGTCTGGGACACCAGCGAGAAGCTCAGCACCCGTGGGTTCTCCCACTTGGAGATCTCAAACTTCACCTCGAACTGCTGCTCCTGCTGGCAGGCCTCGAGCTGGGCTCGGATCTCGGAGATGATCTCCGCCCGCCTGTTCCCCTGCTCGGTGAACTGTTGGAAGCAGCTGAGGAAGACCACCAGGTCGGCGTCCGAGCGGCCCCGCAGAGCTGTGCCTTTAGCTGAAGAGCCGCCCTGAGGAGACACGGTGGTGGCTGTTCACGTGCTGTCCTCCTGCAATGGCCTATGGCTTCTGTCACCTCACTCCCCAGTTATGGGCCTGCTGGGTGACCGAAAGCAGGCCAGCTAACCTGTCTTACACCTTTCTTTTTCGATTGTGATTTGGCTGAAAGTTTACAGGGTAAAATTGGTTTTCCACTCAACCGTCCATGCATGACATTGACGACCATTCCCACAATGTAACAGCACTCTTCCCACTTCTCCCTTGTGTTTCCCATATCCCTTCACCCTTCTCTCCTATTCCCCTCTTCACTTTTGAGCCTAATCCCTGCCCTTTTGATCCTGAATGGCTGACTGCTCTAAGGGACCCTGTTAATCAGCTGACTGAAAGCTGAGCCCTGGGGGTGAATTCTATTCCAGGCTTGCAGGGTATTGAAGTGCCACAGTCTTCAGGGGCTCCTTTGCTGTAAGCTTGGCCTTTTCTTTGTCTTCTATCTTTTAATATACAGGTGATTCCTCCTATGTGGCCCTGGCTCCAGAAAGATCACGAGCCTGCAGGACCCTCCTTGCCCACAGGCCTTGACAGACTCAGTGTCCTCTTAAGGGTTTTAATAAACAGAAATCTATTTTCTCACAGTTTGGGGGGTAGAAGTCTGAATTCAGGGCACTGGCTTTCTCCTTCTGTGAGAGGAGGTATCAGCTTTCAGTCCTTAGCTCTGGGGTGATTCGCCTGTGGCGTGGCCTCTATCCCCCATCTCTGCTTGTTGTCCCCTCAATCTCAAAAGAGAATGACTTAAGGCATATCTGACACTAACATCACCTCATAAGCACACAGAGGAAAGTCCCCAACATGACTACGGCCCCTCTAAAAGGTAGAATTTGTAAACGCATCTATCTCGAGGCACCGCTCAATCCGTGACACCCACCTTGACCACCTTGAGCACTTTGATGTCCGAGTTCTGGAAGCAGTTCTCTCTCAGGAAGGAGCAGATGGTGTTGACGGCCTTGTTCACCTGGGCCAGGAACTGGCGGGTGGGCTGCAGGAACTCACAGATAAACTTGTCCAGGTCTGCGGCTGGGGTCTGGTGAAGGAGGGCGGGCTGCAGAGAGAATCCGGTTTGAGACAGAACGCAGGTGTAACCACCTGAGGCTCCAGTGCTGGGGGCCTTCAAGGAAGGGGCAGTTGTGAGCAGGTGGTTACATGCAGGCAAAAGGAAGGGACACAGCCAGGTTGAGGGAAAAGGGGTTCAGTGATATGGAGGAGATGGGGTACAGGTAGGTAAATGATGGGTACAGTTGGGTATTGGGCACAGGGTGAAGGCAGCTGGGGCGGATGACTCTCAGGTGGGTTCAGGAAAAGACGGATGGGCAGGTAGGATGGAGGGGACACAGGTGAGGGTGTATGGATGGGAGTGGGCAGGCTGGGTGGACAGTGGGGACACGGCAGGTAGTGGGGAGGGGAACGAGGTGTATGGAGGATAGAAGGGCGAATGGGTAGAGGGGTTGGGGAGTGTGGGGAGGGGTGTGGGCCAGTAGAGGGGAGAGGTGGGACAAGTGACCATCAATGTCCCCCCTGTAGAGCTCCACACTTACCATCACATCCCAGGGCAGCACTGCTGTCCCGTCTCCACTCACAAAACAGGCCCCTGTCCCCAGAGCTGTCGCTTCCCGGGCCAGCAGCTCCCAGTCACCCTGACCCACATTCCAGGTGGGGTCAGCAGGGTCCAGGACCAGAGGTCTGTGGACAGAATTGGGGGGGGGGCATACGAGATGGAATTCAGTGAAGAAGTAGGTGAGGGGCTTTGTTAGGGAGGAAATGTCAGGACCTCAGATCTTCAGCCAGGAAGCTGATGGTGGTGGTGGGGGCGGTGTGTTTGAGGGGATCTGCTGGCTGCAGAGTCAGAGGTGATGTCCGGTCCATTCAGATTGAAATATGGCCCTGAGCTGAGCACACACACAACAGAGTAACAATAGCCATGGCTTCTAAAGCATTTACTGAACACGCCTGTTCTTTATGTCTTAGTGAGGGTCCCCTCTCATAATGTTCCCATCAGTCCTCCGAGGTCAGCATGATATTCTTCTACTGCTGCAGGCTCAGAGGGGGAAAGCCACCTCCCTGAGGTCACACAGCAAGTATGTGCCAGAGCTGGGATTTGAGCTCAGGCTCTCAGGCTCTTAGCCCCTACACTTGACCCCAATGAGTCAAGTGTGTAGACTCCCGTGGAGGCCACTACCAGAGAGAGGTAAGTCTCTGGCTCTGGAGAGGTGGGCTGAGCTCAGCTTGGCATGACAGAGGAGACAGGGGTGAGGATGAGAAAAGAAGGCCTGTGAATCTTGCAAGCATGTGCCTTGGAGAGGGTAAGGCCTAGCATCATGCCAGCCTGTCTTTGCTGATCAGGGAGGCCAGCTGTCCCACAGGCACAGCCATTCCAGGCCACGAGGGCAGAAATTGCCCCCTAAACTTCCAGGCTGACCCTCTGCTCTGCTGAGATGCCCTGCTGTGGTGGATGACCATGGCATCCTAGTAACTTAATAAAGGGCTTTACATTGTTTTAATGCAACTGGTCCCCTCTGGGGCTAAGCCAGGAGTCCAGAAGGGGGTGCAAGTGAGGAAACCCCCTCCCACATGCAGTGACTTCCAGGATGAGGGCTGAGGAGGACATGGACGGAGGACAGGCATGGGGCCAGCGGCCTGCACCTGGGTTTCCGGAGCTGCCCGTGCAGGTGCGTTCTGAGAGCCGAGTCCTCAGGGCTGTAGTTGACCGTCCAGTAGACACAGAGCTGCTGGTGCTGCTGGACAAGGCCCAGGACTGTCCGGAAGCCCTGGGCCATGTTGAAGTTGTCCTTGCCGCCGCCCTGCTCCCAGGCGTAGATGGTCAGCAGCTCGAGGGCGTAGACTGGGGGCAGAGCGGCACAGGCTGGTCCTCCTCTGACCTTAGGGGCAACCTGTCACCCGAAGAGTCAACCAAAGAACAGCAGGTGTGAGTGTCTCCCTGTGCCCAGTCTGGCCTCCCTGTGCCTAGCCTAGCCTAACTCTGCCGAGCTTGGCCTAAACTCTTAGAAAGGGAAGCAGATATATTAAAGATAGAACCGTAGAAAGAATAAGCCAAAGCAAATCCACTCCCAAACAATTGAGTCTGACTCGCAATGATCCTCCACTGACTCTCTGAAGCTGTGGATCTTGGAAGGAAGAGTCAGCCCATCTTTCAGAGTGGCAGGTAGATTCGAACTGCCTGACTTTCCGTTAACAGCCAGGCATGCTACACATTGCACTGCCAGGGACTCTCCACAGAAAGAACAGATTTTGGAGTGTGGCCATGCTCACCTTTCTCAGTTGGTTGGGTAAGCTGAGCTCTGGTGGTGTAATGCTAATGTATTATGCTTTTAACTCAAAGGTCAGTGGTTCAAAACCACCAGCTGCTCTGCAGTCTCCTTCAAAAAGATTTACAACCTCCATCAACAAATGGATAGAGAATGGATAGAGAAGCTCTGGTATATTCACACCATGGAATACTATGCTGCCTTGAAAAACAAGGAACTCATGAAATATTATGCAAAATGGGTGGCCCTGGAGGACATTATGCTGAATGAAATATCTCAGTCACAAAAGGACAAATACTGTATAGTGCCACTGTTGTGAAATGGGACGGACATAGGAGTTGGGGGGAATCTAAGAAAAGAGAGAATAAATAATGTATACTGCGTTGAAACAGATGAGGGAGGGAATGGTTTAAAAGGAATATAGGATTAGGTATTATTTTCATGACAAGATTCCAGAAAAACAAATACATAGTAAAGTGGACTGTGGACATGGGGGTGGGGGGCGGATTGTATAACAATGAAACAATATA